TGCTTGTGTGTTCAAACCACTTGGAGCATTCATGCACTGTTTCGTTAGAAGGATTTGCTTTCCAAAGTTGAACTTTCAGAACTCGGAACACCTTATCACACTTTCACAAGCTTTCTCTCTGGGAATGGAAAAAAGAAGGGGGGCAGCCTGTTAGGACTTGTGCCAGTTAAATCCGATCTCTCCGGGGATTTGTTTTCCTTCTGGCGTCAGATTAGATGTTCAAATCAAGCAGTGTTTCAGATCTGACGGGGAATGTCCATGGGATTCTTAGTGAGGCTAATCCCGAAGCAGCGGCACATTCCAAGGGGCTAATCTGCCCAAGTTCATTGCTTACTTGAAATGACTCTTGGGGGAAGCACCCGGCTAGTTAATTTTTTTTACAGTGGGCGGTCATAAGACCATTATTAACGGGATGACCAGCCCCGGACACAGCAAAACGAAAGCAACAGGAGCGGCTCTGGGGACTGTCTTTGCCACCAGCCAGAGTCAGTGCACAGGTAAAGTGATTTCAGCTAACTTTTCTCTTGTTTGACTTCTTGATGTTGGGTCTGGGGATGTAGAGGAAGACCAAAGGAATACCCAGAGGGATGCTGAAAGAAAGCAACAGATGAAAATGAACATATGCACTAAGCCCCTTTTGGCCTTGGTATTCTGCTCTAATCGAGACAGGGCATCCATTTCACACAGGCAAGGAGAAGCATGTGAATTTTGCCTTGTAATGTGTTTCTATAAAGTTTATATAGTGGTTCTTTTTAATCTTGCAATTAATGTTCCTGGAGATTTTCCTTTTGCTAAGTTGCTCTGCTTAAAAGAGGATTACAGTAGCAGTTTCCAAGGCTTTTAAAGAGGGATTTAATATGTACATCCTCATAACCCTTGGCTTCCTGGGAAAGGTCTTGATTGGAAACCAGTGAGAAGTGCCTAGGAAGGAGAGCTGAAGGAGTGCGGAGTCTAACACTGATAGGACAGTTTTGGTGAAAAATCATTGAAACTTACTTAAATGAAATGGCTCATTTTTTAAGGCAATGTTTACAGGATTCTGCTTTCTGTGTGAGTGTCTATTCTGATTCTTTGTTGACTGTACATTTAATTTTCAAAACTTGTACTTGCTTTGTTCTTTATACTTTGTTCAAAATGCGGATTTCCTCGATTTTGTTTTGAAAAAGTTGTCCTTTAATTATTAGCCTTTGAAAAACATTTTCCTGTTATACACCACACATGGCTGATGATGCAGAAAGACAAGAAAGAAAAGAGCCCTTCACAGACCTGGCCGTGGTTATGTGGCCATTCTACCTTCACAAAAGAATGTACAAAAGTGATTTTTTTGAAGAATGATAGAGACTTTCTTTTTCTAAAAGTACATGGGAATTCCAAAGCATATTTAAAAAGAAAAAAGATTTGGATAAACCATCCATTGAAGTTTTATGTTAGAAGATAATTAAAGCTCAGCTAGAAATATAGCATGTCAAAATTATTTCATGCTTTCTAACAGGGATAATCATCCTGCACTAAGTTAGCTGGATGTTGGGAGCAAAATATAAAGCTTCATGCAGACTAGTTCAAAGCTTTTGAACAAAAGAAAAGGGAGTTAGTTTAGGGAACAAGTTAGACTATGATTGTACATCAAATATGTCCTCTCTCAGAAAATAATTTTAAAAATTTAATATCAATTCACACTGAAGACCTGAATAAAAGCACAATAAAGCAAAACCCACAATATAACATAGGGAATTATGTTGATATTTTGTAGATTTATGTGTTATACATGTATTTCTTCTCTGATACACTTCTCAAAAGACAATCCATTTCAAATCTGAATAATGAGAAGATCTTTTACCTTCATTTTTCTTTTCTTTCCTCTTAATTGTGTCTTGGCGAGAGAAATGATTAATCTGCTAATAGTAAAAAAAAATGAAAGTGACCCTCAGTCCTTTTGCTCACAGTGAAGTAGCTTTTTACCTTTGGGAAGGTAATTAAGATACTAAACTCCAGTCAAGCCGAATTATTTTATACAGAAACGCAAGCAAGATGCCAATCCATATGTAGTAATTCTTACCACACCACTCTACTGAAGCTTCCAGGACTTCCCAAAGTGAAAGTAGGGCCCATGAGGGAAAGAAATGATGCAGCTGTCCTTGGACAGTCTGTCTAATCCATGGTGTGTGGCCCCCCAGACTCGCAGGTTAGGGGCCGCATGGTGATTTCATTTCTTCCCTGTAGCTATGATCGTAACCTCGGCCTCCTTTGACTTTCTAATACTCTCCAGCCTTCCCACTGCCTCACCCTCACAATTGACACCAAAAAGAGAGGAAGCACTGGGCTGTGTTCATTACTCTGCATGTGAGGCTGGGAGGGGACATGAGAAAGTAGGAGGTTCGAGGGTGAACGGGTTCCCAATCGGCCTCTACAAGCCTCGCTCTGTCCTCAGCCCAGGGCCTCCCCGGGAATGCTCAGTTAGCACGACTCGCATCACCGAGCACGATTACTTCATCTCAGCCATCTCTCACTTCGAGAAGCAGTTTGCTGCATGGGTAAGAGTGTGAGCTCTGGATTCAGGTTGCTTAAATTCAAACCCTGGCTTTAAAACTCACTGGCTACAAATGGCTGTCTCCGTTTCTTCATGGTAGAAATAGTTGTAATGGCAGACTTCCCTCACAGAGTTCTTCAAGGGTCTATGGAGACAGGGCGTACATGGCACAGTGCCTCACATGTCATGAGCCTTTAATGCACATCAATCCTTGCTTTTACCCATGGGGCTCCTACTATGTGCCAGGTAGTTTGTCTGAATTATCTGGTTTGTTTGTCACAAAGCTTTCCCAAGCAGCTTCGATGGCCCCTGCTGCATTATAGAAGAGGTTCAGAGGGATTAAATAACTTATACCTTACTAGTGGCCAGCCACATACTCTACAGTACTCAACACCAAGGGGCATCAGTCTAGGTCACGGCTAAAGGAATTTCATGGTGCCCTCATCTGAACATCCAGTACTCTGAGTACTGGAATTAACCCAGGATTGGTCCACTTTTCTGAAGTGAAAGCATGGTACCCCCAAAATAATGATGACTACATTGTGTATCAGGCATTACTACTATGCCCATTTTACAGATGAGTAAAACTGAGTATTGAAGGACTCACGTGACTTTCTCCTTGTTGCAAAGCCCTATTCACTCCACTTTTTCTCACTGTTCCCTATACATCGGTATCCACAATACTAATTTGCTGACTTCCTCTTGAGGCGGATTGATCAGTGCTCTCTGAAATTCCCATTTGTTCCCTAAAAGATCCTTCTGAAGCCTGGCCAAAATGGGCCACAGGAAGTAAAACCAAAGTGCATTCTTCCTTTTCCGCTCCCAGAGGTGTAGGGAAAGTGGGTCTTAAATGTCCATTAGGAACATTGCCCATCTCTCTGCCAATAGATATTATCAGTCAGCGTATCCAGTGATGGGGGAAACCATGGCATCTTAAGAGTTTAACTGACAGGCTTTTTACAATGAAGATTGGTTATCTTTGCCACTAAGCTCATTTCTTTTGCAAAGATGGTGGTGCCAGCTTCCCCTACATGTTTAAGAAAAACATCTTTGAGAATAGATCATCTCCTTTCATGTCCACCTGACAGACATAGCTGCAGGTGCCACCTTTGCAATGTGGTATCCATTTCTGGCCCACAGCACCTGAGCACCCAGCAGCATTCGATCCAGTTGTGACCATCCCTGGGGTAGGATGCAACTCCTCAGTATCCCTGTTATCCTTTATGTTGCTACTTGTGAAATGTGCATTGTCCCAAATATAACAGACCTTCTGCCGCTCGTGCCACCTACTTGTACAGACTCCCATTGGATGAGAGCAAGGTTGGAGGGCAAACCAAACCTGGCACATCTTACACAGACATTGCGGTTGCTGGCAAAGTCAGGACTAATTACAACCCACGAACAGGGCCTAGTTAAGAGAGAACAGCAGAGATTGAGACGAGCCAAGGAAACAACTCATTGTGCTTCAACCCCATATATTTTCAGAGTATGAGCTTAGAACTGATGCTGGAAGGTGACGACGTATAAAAATAACATTATGTGCCATCCTAGCAATCTCCATCTTCGGTGGTCAGGGAGGGAAACGTCTGAGCAGCTTATTGGAGTTCATGGGAAATTTCTTTACTGTTTCAAATGCCGGTGAAAAAGAGGGTAAAGGGATGCAGCATAGACACCCTGGTTTGGAGCAAAGAGTTCCTACAGTTTCCATAATTTGCCATAACATTCGGTGGCCATCCAGAAACCCAGTCTTGGTAGCAGGATTTCTGGATGAACTGTCTTAGCAGTGTCCATTGGAAAAAGCCGTTACTTGCTGTATGCTGAAAGGCATGCGGGATACAAGGGGGGGTAATGTGTGTCTACCTTCCCAGGCGTCGTCTGTCAAATCTGGGACTGCGCTGAAGGTAGTTCTCTTTCTTCTGTCACCACTCTTGTTTTTCCTCCTTTGTAGTTAAGCATTGCTAATTTGGATTTTAGAAACAGTGTGATGATGGATTAGGGCTTGTAATTGAGTGATTTGCTTACCATTGTTCTTTCCTTCAGAAAGGAAAATCTCATGGAAGCACAAGCCATGAAAATGCTATGCTTATTTAGGTGTGTCTCTGCCCACCACTGAATACTGTTTTCTGTCAAGTTGCAAATATAATGTTCTATCCTTCCAGATTGATTTTCTCTGTAAATAGCGTTTTCTTCCTGTCCTTCAAAAGTCATTATATGTTCATGTATGGTTATATCTCTAGTTATTTTTTTTCAGCATGGCTATTTCATTTAATTTTCCATATTATAATGTTAACCTAATTAGTAAGTTTTAGAAATCATTTTTATTATATGTAATCTTTATGTATGAAATAACCATAATTTCATTTTAGCTCATGATGTACTAGTTTTTGCATGATTATGAAATTTCATTTTCTAGTTAAAACTATTTAAAGGCTATATTAATATTTCTTATCTTTTTTTTTCCTCTCTCTTTCAGGCTCAGAAATCCTGGATAGAAAGAGCATTTTATAAAAGAGAATGTGTTCACATCATACCCAGCACCAAAGACCCCCATAGGTAATCTTCCTGTCTGTAATGTATCAAGATGTGAAGTCATGATGACAGGGGCAGACAATAACAGCAATCACTACCCATTGTGTGGGATCCATTGCCAAATGAAGGACTCTTTTTATTATTGGACATTTTTGAAGCAATTCTTCTTTGTGATGCTGGAGAATGAACCCAGGGAATACTGAGCTATATCACTAACCCTTTTTGATTTTCTATTTTGAGACAGCAGCTATTTTGAGCAACTGCTAAGTTGCTTAGGTTGACTCAAATTAAATTTGTGATCCCCTGCCTCAGTCTGCAAATAGCTGGGATTACAGGCATGTGCCACCCCACCTGGCTCTGAAGCCGTCATTCACATTTCTCTATGACATTAAGTCATATGCCTGCAGTTAATTCTTAGTGCAAAAGTCTGTAAAAGTCTATCCCATTGCAGATGAAGCCAATCTCTGTGTATAACATTTGGCTATAGTTTTTTTATAATGATAACTGGTTTTTCCTTCTATGAGATCTACTCTAGTAGAAAAGGTACTTTTAAATAAAAGACTGTTGGCAGATTACTGTACAGAGACTGTAAAATTTCAGATTGCTCTGCACTTTTTTGGGGGTGATACTGGAGACTGCCTCCAAGGCCCCAGTAGTCTTTGCACTAAGCTATATCCCTAGCCCTAGAGACCAACTTGCTAAATTTCTCAGGCTGGGCTTGAACATGTGATCATCCTGCCTTGGTCTCCCAGAATGCTGGAATCATAGGTGTATTCCACCACATTTAGCTTCCTCAGCACATTTTTAGTGCCACCTTACCTCCCTGAAGATGAACAGTGATCAAGGTGGAAGCATTAGTTAAAATATATGGTAAATTTTTTGATTTAAAATTTGTATTACAGTAAAAGACACATTGCCATTAATTCCTGTCAAAATACTCCCTCTCACTTTGAACACACTTATGCTATCATTCTTACTACTTTTTATATTTCTGGAAATCTTCTTGCACGAGTACACAAGGTATGATCAAATACATGGTGAAGGCTACTGCCAAGCGCCATCCGTAGAAAGACAGGCTTGTAGAAGCATTAAAGCATGGCCTTATTTACCTTATGCACCAAATCTGGCACCGTGAGACCTTGGGCTCTTTCCTGTCAAAATGACTGTGAAAGGTAAATATTTTCATCTGATTTAGAACATCAAGGCCACCATAACAGTCAGTGAAAGACATGAAAGAGGATTTCCAGAAGTGCTCCAGAAAGTGACAAGAACAATGGCATAGGTATATTCAGAGGAAGGGGGAGTGTTTTGATGTTGCCTAAAGGCAACGTGTCTTCTACTGTATCTACTGTACTAAATTTTAATTTAAAAATTCACTGTATTTGTCAATCATACATCATAACACACCTAAGTCTGGAAATGCCTTTATGAATAGAAAATTTAACACTGCAGTTAAAACATGGATTATTCGGTCATACAGACTAGAGGTATAACCTTGGACAAATTATCCAACCTTCGGAACTACAATGCTTCGTCGTAAAATGGAAGCTAATTTCTAAGTGTTCCATAAACAGCAGCTATGTGCTACAACTACTACTCCTAATAATTGTGATTATAATGGTAATAATGTATGTAGACATTTTCATGAAAGAAGGAACAAATTCTCCATTTTCAAATACCTTGTGAATTCCTTTATTGTTTCTTCAAGAACACTTAAGCCTGCAGATTTTTATTTTCAGAATTGGATATTTGACAGCCAATGTCAACTGGGGAGAGACAAGTTAGACTGTGACTCACGTATAAGTGCAATTCCTCATTTAAATGTGAAATGTTAAAAATCTCTCCCTCGAAGCTCTTTAGTGTCCTTTAGGCAAGATTTGGTAAAAGGGAGAAGCGAGAAGTGCAAAAATCTAGAGAACTTCTGCTCACGGGCGCCCTCTCCTCAGCAATATGCTAGGAGCCAAAGGTGTGGATGAGGAAGGGCAGGAGGCACATTGTGGCTTCTACGGTTAAAGGAAGATGAGGACAAGAGAAAAGGAGATGCATGTACCACAGAAAGCCGGCGCTCATCACTGGCCTGATGCAGCCACATTGTGAGAGTCAGAATGGACTGAGAATCCTGTCACAGGTTGCCTCATGTGTGTTCCACCAGCAGCTGGCCCAAGGGGTTCACTTTAACCTCTTATGTTGTAGGTGTTGCTGTGGACGTCTGATAGGCCAACATGTCGGACTCACTCCCAGTATCTCTGTGCTTCAGAATGAGAAAAACGAAAGTCGTCTCTCCCGAAATGACATCCAGTCTGAGAAGTGGTCCATCAGCAAACACACTCAGCTCAGCCCAACGGATGCTTTTGGGACCATTGAGTTCCAAGGAGGCGGCCACTCCAACAAAGCCATGGTAATCAGAAAGGCAATTGGTCCTTTCCAGTGCTACCTTATATCCTGCACAGGAGTGGCAAAGAGCTGGGATTTAGACTTTGGGCCACTTCCTGGAGGGGTGACCTGTTCTGATTACAGTGCCCCTGTATTTCTTACCTCCTACTCTATAAAGTCGAGTAAAGCCAATATTTCTCCTAGGATTTTTGAAATAATAAGCATGAGATCAGGCACAGTAACTGTTATTACTAATATTGGAGCAAACAGCTTTCTCTTTCATTATTTTGATTCTTGATTGACACATATTAAGTGGATATATGAAAGGGTTTTAATGTGACACACACACACACACTGACTGTGCACTGATAAAATCCAGTCCCCCTTTATCCACCCCCCTACCATGCCCATGCTCCTTAACCTCTGTTAATCACTATGTTCGGGTCCATTTTTGAGCTTCATAGGAAAGAATAGTTGGTATTCGTCTTTCTTTGTCTGGCTTATATAGTTATCCATTGCATATTGTGTTACTTTCTGTCTCATCCATTTAGACTTTTTCAAAAAACATCCCAACTTTTTAATGAAAAATGTGTTTCCTTAGGTTTCTACTTCCCTGTTTTTTTCTATTAGTAACAGGCCTTTCTCCTCATTCAAGGTGAACATGGTCATCCCAGCCTATTTCCTTCCTCATCCCAATAGCGATCTTGCCATCCACCCTCAGTCCTTTTCTCCCAAGTAGCAGTGTTCAATAATGTTCACAAGCACAAGGACCTGAGTTTGATCCCCAGTACAAATTAAAAAAAAAAAACAAAGAAAGAAAGAAAGAAAGAAAGAAAGAAAGAAAGAAAGAAAGAAAGAAAGAAAGAAAGAAAGAAAGAACAAATACTGCAGATAAATCTTGCCGGGGATTTAGCTTAGTGGTTCCATCTCCTGCCTCTCAAGCA